TTAGTACTAGCGGTTCACCCTCGGTTCGTCTCTAGATAAAAAAAAACAAATCTATACCACAGGAACCGTACATTTTCCGGAATGAAAAGAAGCCTATGTGTTATTCTGATGTATGAGCTATATTATTGTAAAGTTTCATTAAAATACATTCAGTAGCTTTTGGGTAAAAGAGTAACAAACATGCATACATCTATCTTTACATACAGACATCCATATAGCCTCACAACTTTCGCATTTATAATATTAGTAGTCTATAAAATATAAATAAATTAAATATTAATCTTACGATCTTCTGTTTAAATTTAAAATTAAAATTTTACATCATTTGTTCTAAAAAATAATAAGTTACAAATCATTTCAAAAAATTCGTCGCAAAAATGGAGTGATTAATGAATTTTGCTTTCCTCTAACAACATTATATCGCTACACCGATATTCATTTTTTGTGACAAATTGAAGGGATACTTTTTTAACAAAAAATAGAAAAATGTTTTTATTATTTATTAAATTACTATAAATTCTAAAGTCTTAACTATCACTAGTCCCAAAAAAATTTTCTTTGACCATTTTCAAAAAAAAAACGATAGAGGTACTCAAAAAGGTCATATACTTATACATTTTATTTTGTGGTGTTATATTCGCCATGTTGTTATATAAAGATTTTTTTTCAATAAATACTTTAAGAGACCCTATGGTACCACATAAATATTTCAAGAAAAATCCACCACTAAGAGTAAAATGCACTCATTTTCTTTCCATTTATTTAACAAAAAAATATATTTTAGAACATAATATTCTCAAAAGGAAGGGACATATCTTCAACAAGATTATGCTGCCTTTGTTGTACTGCATTACGAGTACTTGTTTGTGACAACAAGAGTTCTTCTAGTTTATAAAGCTGCACATAACCTAATTCGATGAGTTCCTAGATTCGATTTCCGATTCGCTACTTTATTGAGATTTGGTATGAAAATAAATCAATAATAATAATCAGACATTGTGAATTTGGCTATGATACAATTTAATCACTATAGTACTTTTCACCTAGATAGCTAGTTTCGAAAAAAATAATCTTCTATAATAATATTATAGAGGTAAAGATTGTGGATTGGTGACGTTGTAAATTTGGTAAGAATATCTTCTTAGTTTGAGACCCTGGGAAGGACATAGGATACTTTTTATCCTGGAAATCATCCCTTAAGAGGGTGAAAATGGGGATGAGTTTGTATATGGAATTAGCTAGGGACGAACCCGAGCGAAGCGAGGGTGAGTCGCTAGTATTATATAATTTATTTTTTGACAAATACTGCTTAGCAGCTAGCTAGACGGAAAATTGGCTAGGAAAACAAATTATAAGATTTTTTTCGTTTTATAAAATCTGACTATAAATTTATATTTAATACTAAGCATATTACTTATCTTATTCAGTGGAATAGTGTGACGTGAGAAGAATATTAACTAAAAGCAATAAACAGATTAGACTTTTATAAAATTATAGTTAGAACATACCATCATGAAAATTGTTTACCAATTGTAGACGAAACTCACGTAAAGTAAACTTAAATTCAAATCATATTTTTTTCAATTACTGGCGACTCACCCTCGCTCCGCTCATGTTCGTCCCTAGGTAGGTACGTATTAACGGTTAGTATGGAATATTTATATTTAAACATATATATAAATATTAGTATATATGTATACAATTATCGACCGCCGAGAGTAGAAAATAATGTAAGTACTAATATCGCTATTAGAAATAGGGGTTAGTGGTAGAACGGTGAAAATTTATGTTTGTATGTATTTTTAATGCCGAATAATAAAAAAATTAAATTTTTTGACCAAAAAATAAAAATTATGGTGGACCACCCTTATCACTTAGGGGTATGATAAATAGTTTACGTCCTATTCTCAGACCTACTGAATATACACACAAAATTTCATAAGAATTACTCAAGCCGTTTCGAAGGAGTTTTGTTACAAACACTGTGACACGAGAATTTTATATATTACAAGAAAGAAGCTACCACAGCTTGGAATAAAGTTAAATAAGATAAAAACACTTTTTTTTAATTAAAACAATACACAAATAATAATTATCTTATTATCAACATATTTCGTTACTTAATACACGTATCACTTAGGCATTTTTGACCAACTTCAAAGACAAGAAGGCACTCAAATCGGTTGAATGTTGTTTTTTATGTTACGTGATATCTTTGCAAATTGGGAATAAAGTTCCATATTTCTTTAATTACATAATTTGTTATATATCAAGTGCGATCCCATAAAAAATTGTCAGTGTTTTTAAATCCATGTGCCTTTTTTTGTTAAAAAATATATGAACATACGAGTATGTGAAATTCATTTAGCGACCTTGTTTAGACGGAATCAGGTCAAAAATTACGTGAAAGCTATTAGGTTAAGTACAGCTTTCAAATGGCCGCTTTGTTTAACTGCATTTTAACTAGAATTAATGGTGTTTGCGAGTTTTTGAAGCAGTTGTAAAATGTTGATCACTTAGTGCTGTTACTCTTAACTTAACGAGTATCTACCAATTTGTCGATGAAATTATGCGATTTGTATAACATATAAATTTTAACTTTATTTTATCAAGAGAATGTAATAAATTAAGCATTTTTTGTTATAATTAGGTATTTTTTTTTTCTTTTTGTTAATATTATAAAGCTACATTAAAACTGTATAATTATATAGAAGTGAAAAAAAATACAGTTAAAAAATAAAAATATATCACGTCAAAGGCAACGCAAACTTATTGATCTGCCTATCAAAGTCAAACGTGTCGGGATAAGCCTAATGCATACGTTGGTAATGAAGCCACAATTCACGAGCGCAATCAAATGAGCCCTTACGTGCATTCATAGAAGCATCGTTGAATTAGAATATCGAGGACGGGCTTATATTAAGTAACACCTAATTGTTATGAAATAATTGTATTAAGAGAATCATTAAATGTCCAAAGATATATTTTTAGTTACTTAAAAATTTTATCCTGAAAATACTTTTTCTGACCTCATTTCCTTGATACTTTGTGTTATTGCTCTTCGATACAATTAATGCCATTTTCATTATTCTCGAGAAAATACGCAAAAGGCGAAGTTGAGACAGATCATTAATTATTGAATAATGAGTGAAATAAGATATGTTTGTTACTTTGAAAACATGAAATATAGAAGTAGAGGTAGACTAAGAAAGTTATAGGTGGCCAGTATGAAAGAGAAGATGTGAGTAAAAGCTGTGTGCTAAAGCTATATTTTAAGGAACTTACGTAAAATTTTGTACGTCTCTTATCTATACTGATATGATAAAGGTAAAGGTAAAGTTTGTGAATTGTGAGTTTGTGACATTGTAGGGGTAATCTCTGGATCTACTGAACCGATTTAGATGAAATTTGGTAAGAAAATAGTTTGAGACCCTGGGAAGGACGTAAGATACCCTAAGGGGGTGAAAATGGGGATGAAAGTTTGTATGAGTAATCAACTTAGGGACGAACCCGAGCGAAGCGAGGGTGAGTCGCTAGTACATTTAATAAAATTGCAACTAAGCCGAATCTGTACATTAAATATTTTTTGGAAAATCTTATTGAAATAAATATTATTATCAATACAGAGGCCGAATCTATAGTTTTTAGAATTTTTGTGTGTCTGTCTGTCTAATATTGATGAAATTTGGTATGATGATAGATAGTTATCCGGATAAACATATAGGATACTTTTTACTGCAGGAAAATGTCTCATCTCTGAGAGATCTATACTAAACGTTAGAACCTGAGCGGAGCGAGGATGAGTCGCTAGTTTAAATATAAAATCTTTACTTTAAGATAGCATTATTTTATATGCACCTATTTCTGCATTTGTATGGGGACTATTTAAAAAAATACTTATTCAGACATATTTTTCATTGAAATATGACTTTTACAGTCCCATTTGCGGCTAATGCAGTTTAATTGAGTATATAATAAGATCAAAGGATTTTGCCGTAAAAACAATATTAGTTTTGATTTGAAATGCGTTATCGTGACGGGAATTATAATCCTCTCTAAACAAAATTTATTATTTTTAGCATAAATGTAATTTGTATTCAAATCGTATAATAATAATGTATGTAATTTACATATTTTAAATAAACATTGACCCACTGAGTACTGCGTTAGAGATCGCGTATTCACTGCCTGTCTGGGGCTCTTTACTTAATATATACTAAAAATAATAATCATCTGTATTATTATTTTATTCTTGTTTGAAACTTAAATACGGAAGGGGAAGTTAAGTACGGCCATCTTATGTACAGAGTTTACGGTTTAAACTGTAGTAAAAAATATTCACCAACCGTCTACTCCGAAAGGAAAACCCCTAGAGACTGAATTTATACTACTTAAACCCTTAAGTTGTTCGAAGCATTACATTAAGCGTGTTAAAATATAGTTTTTTTTATTAAATATACAAAGCTTTTAAATAGATTTACATTTGAAGATTGCGTCAAAAGTTTTTGTGCAAATTCTAAGATGTAACTTAATTTTACAACTTGCACTCTACTTTATTGCTTTTATAAAAGAGCACGAATATTTTTATTTAGAGTACAAGTGTGATCTGTAGATATGTCTCTATATTGAGCTTTATAATGGCTTTTATAACAAGAAAAGTAAAACAAAATTATTAATATTCTTTTTTGTTTTTAGATGTTAAATAAAACTTATAGATTGTACAGTAAAGTAAAAGCCTGTATGTAAAGTAATATAGTAAATATAAGACGACGACTGGCACTGCTTTATACTCCGGAGATCGCAAGTTCTTGTCTAATGTAAATATTGCCCATATCAAAATCCATACCATGTCAACACACATTCTCTTACCGGCAGAGAAGAGAAGTAAGAGAACTATTACTATATTTGCTTTACTCATTCCATAACAACTACAGATACAAACATACAGACTATAAAGTGTTTTTAATTAATTTTACTATTAATTTGGAAATCAACAGTACCTGCGGTGGACTCTTAACGTAATATTCAGTATCATTGATGAGCAGTCGGAAATCATTTTCGAGTAGCGACTCGACCGTGTCACTGGCCGCAATCCGCACGCGTTCGTCCGCCGCTAGAGCCACTGCACGCTCTACGCCGCGGTCTTCAGCCTTCACCTTGAATTAAATAATTATATGTATTACTAATTTAGGCTATAAATTGAACTTATTATAATAAATGTAAAATTGAGTATAAAAGAGTTTTTGTTTTGAAGTGAGACTTAAAGTGTAGTTGTAAATAGATCGTACAATATTATTATATACAAACGTATACGTTTCGTTATACAATCATAATTTCCCTAAGTCCTAATTCCTAAGTACTAAATTCCCTACAAAAATATTTTCCCTAAAAGATTATAGCCATATATAATTACTGTTAAATATTTTCAAATAGTTAAGAAAAGTACCTGTTCGAGCAGGTCGCCGACGGTTTGCGACACTGGACGCAAGGTAAACCGACAGCGTTCGCGTCGCGACGGCAGTGGTACAGTTATAACTGGTAGCCCCCGTCGGTACGTGACTGACACTTCTGTAACAAGAAAAAGTAACTATTAACATATTATCAAAGCTCATTAACTTCCAGCAATAAAGCCGGGCGTTAATCCTAGAAATGCACTGGAAGGTGGGCCACCACGGTGAATAGTGTACCATAGATTTATCTTTATGTTTTTCTCATAGCAGAATGCATCGTGGGATTGCTCCCACGATGCATTCCCCCTGGTTGCTGTGGTCTGCCTCGATAGGCCAGCCGTTGGGGCATTATCGTTTAGGTGTATAATTGATCCTGCACCGCCCCACACTGTGCTGGTTCTGAAGGTTTTAGTGCATAGTACTGGTTTTTTCTAGCCGGTAAATCCCACATAACCTGTATGTATACAGGTGGTATGCGTTAATGCATTTGGCAACTTTAAAAAAAGTGCACACCTTGTTACTACTGGTCATGTTCACTATTCTATCTGAATACTTCACAAATCAATCATCCAAGTCACTTCAAGTTGAAGGTGTAACAAACATACAAACTCTCGCATTTATAATAGTAGTCTAATCATGCTTATATAATAAATAAGTTTGGATAATATTGTTAAAGTTTAACACCTTAAACCACTAAACTTAGGCAATTGCGCTGCCAAATGTATTTGGTGGGTAGTCACTATTTTCATTAATTGCGTTTTGTAGGTACTCATAATAGGATATTGTGGTTTAGACCGACAGATACTAGGCCTACAGCTCAATTGTCATCTGACCGCAGTTCAAAAGTCGTGTCAAAGGATAGCTTTGTAGATTCTGATGCCACACTACTTTATAAATTGGTAGCATATTAATACAATACTTCCTACTAGATGTTAAAGAAGACGCGTATTTAAAGCGGCGGTAGATAATGAACAGTGAAAGTGAACAATAAAATGATGAGTCCGCTACATTATATAACTATGGAAAGAGTACAAATATTTTTTAGGAAGTTCTAATTAACCAAAATTATTCCCCTTTGAATTTACAAGCCAAAAGTTACCAAAAATATCTCAGACTGTCATTACTAGCCGGAGGCAGATACTTGGGCAAATGTACCGAAAAGATTTTATTTCACGCAACATAAACGTGCAGATGTTTATCGTCTCACGAACTTGTTTCCTTGCATATAAAACTTTATTCTTTTTGCTATTACAGCAGCGGTTCTTGGGTCAAACTGAAAATACCATAGCTCTCTAATAATATAACAGATAGGTTTGGGTTTTATTCCTCTGGAATATATTTTACGAAACATTTACAACGGGCACTTATGTAATAATATTTATATGATTATACAAAAAATGGGTTTGTATATGTTTGTATATGAGTTAAATTACTTTTAAGGGCATATCAAGTTGAGTGATATACATACGCAATACTACTAAAGTATTTCTGATCGATTTTCATTGTTACCGGCCAACTGAAATTTGCTAATAACTAATGTGACATTATAGTGCAGTAGTGTACAAATTCAGGCGCACTATTTATTTCCTCAGTTTTATAGCCCGATGAGACAGCAAATTAGAAAACTGCAGAATTGTTAGGCGTAAGACCAATAGGTTTTTGTGTTCTGCAATCAATATAAAACTACTAAAATTTTATTTACTTGAAACTTAGTATTAATGCTTCAATACAATTAAATAAATACTTATTTTAGCATTTTTCAAAATTTATCCCATAAAGGGGTAAATAGGTGATGAAAGTTTGTATCAAACCTACCTTTTTAGAGATTTTGGTAGTTTTTGTGTAAGCAAAGCCGCGGGTTCTGCTAGTTTATTATAAATCTGTGCCCTGTGGATCATGCAGTTGTACGTGATTAGATTATATAATTTATAGCCGTGTCAGCCACCGCTAGACTAACAAGGGAGGTTTAGTATATTTAGTACCTATATGTAAGTAAATGTTCATAAAGTCAATATGAATAAAAGAATATCATACTGTATTTAAAGGGTACCATGAATACGCAATGCGGAATAATAAATGGGAAAGTCACAAAGTAATTTCCATTATTAAATATAAATACACCAGGCAAATGCTGTAGAGTTTGTTAGAACTTATTAATCTGAATGTAAACGACGTTTAATTTATTTAAGGTTACACGTAAAGTACGTCAGAAAATAGGGGTTTTCAAATAAAGATATAATAGAATATATTGATTCTAATATTATAACTCCTTCGTCTCCATTAGGTTCTAATTCAGTTTTTTATTTGCCTGAGTATACGATACTTGTAGCTAGCGCTTACATGAAAACTGAAAATATTTCATTTTCTTCACTAAGAAAAGGAAAATATACGTAAATCCGACTACACATTGGCCCGTACGCTGCAAATATATGAAAGAGCAGTATAAACTAAGGACTGATTTACGCTATAATCAGTAAAATTGTATAATACATTGGTTTTTTTATCTTGTTCTGGCTAAGCTCTAATGAATCGGAAATAAAACTAACAAGCAAACTTCACATTCATAAAATAACTAAGGATTCCATACTGGTGGCTACATAAAAGCAGCCTTTTCAATATACTACTTACGTGCTGAATAACACTTCATCTCACTAACAAATCATATATTATATACATATATAAATATAACAACACATTTCTTTCTTTTTTTTAATGTTGGGAAATTTACGCATACTACCTGTAGACCTACCTACAGGTAGTTATGTGACAAGGATAGAAAAGCCAGTACTACCCACTAAAACCCAACAAAACCACCAAACCCAACCAAAGCTGTGGGTTCACGCTGTCGTCAGAGTACACCGCCCACCAAAGTGAGCCACCCCCTAATACGTTTCTTGGCTTCGCGCCTAGCTGAATTTGCGGATGCAATTGAGCCTCCCCACCACGACAAGGTGAACGGACTTTGGTTAGGTAATAATTCTTCCTGTAACTTCTTTCATGTTTTTATAACTTAGAATATAACAAATAAATAAGTTTTTAGGCAAATACTGGACAGCTCAAATATTTAACCTTGAATATAATGAACTAATAACGGGTATCTACGAGTATCATCCTAAATATACAATAGTAGTACACCATGACGGTTATCATTTAAATTATATCAAGACTATATTGTGTGGATCGAAATAACAAATTACTGTTTTTTGTCTTTCTAGATAAAAAATATTAATCTGAATTATCAAAAAAATATTTTTTATCTATCACACACTAGTAGCAATAGTGTTGCTTAATATTTTAACTTTAAATAATAATATATATTTAATTTAATAATAACAATGAAAAATTATTATTTGCGCTTTTTAAATTACACATTAAAAACAATAATATTACTTAAATAAATAATTAATATTATAGTTATACATATAATAATAGCAATACTAAATAATATTAATAATATAATTAATAAAGTGTTTTAAAAAAATGACATAATTACAATAATATTACAGCTAAAATTAAATAATATTGCCATATTTAAAATGTTTAGAATTAAAATCAACACATATTATCAGGTACTTTGGTGTCATTTTTGAATTTTTTGAAAACCTTATGTAAAATTGTAGGTAGGTACTATCTGTATGAGTATAATGACTTTTGAGACGTCTAAAACCTTAATCTCTGCCGTGACCATAATTACTATAAAGCATTCAAAAATCTAAATAAATCCGCGAAAAAATCCGAAAAGAGTTTGATTTAAAAATGTCAAATATGTATCTTCGCGTAAATCTAAGAAAATATTATATCAAATAGACCTTCTTACTTTCTCAAGGCAAATTATAGCAGTAATTTCAACAGTGTTACTACGAGACTAATTTAAATGTATCGTATCAAGACATCACACCACAAAGAAACATTATATTATGGTGGTACTATTAGAACTAAATTGTTTTACAATGCTTAGCGTCCACTGAATTTTGCACTTTATGTTTGTGTGTTCGTCCCTAGGTACCTATGTTTTGACGCTTAGTATGGAATAGATTTTTATAGCAATTTTTTTTTCGTGAATATTTCCAATGTTTTAATAGTTATTCTGATACTCGGGAAGAGGACTAATCCAACAAATCAAAAACCATGAAAATCGATCCTGTTCTCGAGTTATAAGTGTTGTAACAAACCCGACTTTGTTTTATATAGGTACATACTAGCGACTCACCCTCGCTTCGCTTGGATTCGTCCCTAGCTTAATTCACCATACAAACTTTCATCCCCATTTTCATCCCGTTAATGTATTCTAAACATTTTTGCAAATAAGTAATAACTAAGTACATATACATATAACATAATGATATATGTACTAGTACAGCGTATCGCATCCCATACCTACACGAAACTGCACGACCCTCAATAGACGCTAGGTGGCGTAGGTACATATATTGTTCTTGGTACAAGTGACTGTTTTATTTTATTAAAATTTGCTCTGAAAATTTTTTTTTTTTTGGGAATAATAACTAATCGTAAACACTTTTATTTAACTCATAAAACTCAAACAGCGCCACCTTTATAAATATAGTACAAAATTTAAATCACGGACTGATTATTCAATTATCAGTAAAATTCATTAATCACGTGACTCCATACAAATACAGATGCCCGTCAGTATCAACATGTAAGATAATTTTTCTTTTAGAAAATAGATCTCAAAGAAAGAAATATTATATAAAAATTAAACTATATCTTCCTATATATACATTGTACATCTAATTGTTTGTACGCTTTATTTTCACGCAGTTGTCGTGTCACGAAAGTGCTTATTTTTATTTTCGGGCCACTATTACAATTAAGGCGATTGCTTGTATGTCTATGTATGTTGTTTCTCCTTCACGCAAAAACGGATGAAACTCAGTACACAGATAGAGTACTGAGAGATCTATAAGTCGCCCGTAAAATATAGATTTTAAATAAAACTATCTTTTCGGATTATTTCGCGCTGACACTGCCACTGTCTGTAACAAGTGTATAACGCCGTTGAGACATCTAAAACCTTAGTATCTCCCGTGACCATGATTTTATTTTGTTCTAGCTTAGCATAGCGCCGTACATGCTGTGCTCGAACACCTGCGCCGGCGTCGGACGCAGCCTGATTACTCGCTCTACTTACCCACTCGCTTGTACGTACAATCGACTTCATAATGCACAATGCTTAGAAAATGTACAATTAACATATTAATCGAGTAATTTCACTACTTATTTATTGACTAAGGGCTTTTAACGTAGAAACCATTAGCAATCAAATTGTTTACGATAAATATATATTTCTGTGATGTAAAGTGCTACATGCTATATGATCAAATTTCAATTTCTGGCGTAAATTTCATAAAAGTTGTTAATTTAAACATTTTTACTGGTTTTTAGTAAAATAGAAAAATTTGAAATCCCGTAATAAATTGAGCAAAAATAAATAGATAGAACATAGAAAAATCGAGTCCAATCAAGAGCCGTTACGGCAAGAAGAGGATTGAAATTGTAATTAAGCTGGCAGCTAGCTTTAGCGGAACTTAGTCCGCATTTAACGCTTCTGATGTCTAGTACAAATTAGACAAGATTTCTCTTCGCAGAATGAAAAGCTAGTGGGGTCAGGGAAGTTAATCGAGTATATTTATAAGACTTATCTTCATACAAACTGTGACCATTAATAATTCTTACACTGCGTTACATAATGCATTTGTGTCAATTTTGTATGTCAGTACGTAACTAAACCAAATATTTCTTATTTAAGATTACATATTCAAAACTGTGCAGACCAGTACAAAATAGTATTGGACTTTCATGTCTGCTAATCGTTTAAAGAGACTAACACTGCCCAAGCCACAAGTGACGAAGATTAAAGCAAATAAAAAGTGAATATTATA